GGGGGGGGAAGGGAAAGGTGCAGTCATGCTCCAAAGAGGGAGAGCATGCTGGGTCCTCTATCCTAAGGGTTTTAAGGGAGAATATTTTAGAGGAGATCCCAAGGAAAGACCTCAATAGATTACGCAGCAGCTTTCCAGGTGTGTCCATTCAGGGTTACAGTCTCCACTGATTGATTTCTTGAGCCAGGGCAGGGGGTCATTAGTCAATGCAGCTGGTCCTGAGGTCATCTCAGGTGTCATTTGTCTGCTTTTGCTGCTTTTCTGGGCCTGGAGCTGAAACACAACTAAGGCCTAGACGTCATCTCTAAGGAGGAAAGGTCAGGGGGTCCAAACTGCATGACCAGCGATAAGCTAGGGGAGGAAAGTTTACCCTGGGGGGGAGGTCCCACCCTATAATTGTCTGTTGCTAGGCACCTGGGGCTTTTCACCGTGGTGACCTTTTATACCTGGCCCATCGTCCTTGCTCTGCTCCTGTCTGTCTAACTGCCTACCACAGCATTGCTGTATTATATGGTAATTCTATTTTTAAATTTTTGAAAAATCTCTATACTGTTTTCCATAGTGGCTATACCAATTTATATTCTCACATACAACTTACACTAAAGGAAAGTTAAAAATACCACATTTGTATCAGTCTGGGTTCAATCCAAGAAGCAGGACCCCCAACTCTGGGAGCTGGTCAAATATTGTCTTTAGTCTGACCCTGGAGTTTGAGGGAGTCAGGAGGGAAGATGGACCTAAAATGGAAGGAAGGATCCAGAGCTAGAATCCCAAGTGTGGACTGGAGCCCAAGATGGGCTGAAACCCAGGTCTCTTCTTGTTGCCAAGGGCAACAAGATTTCTTGCAGAAGCTGGGACCCTTCATCACACACCTGGCCCAGGAGTCAGGGAAGCTGAGGGTGGATGGGGGTGGTGGGGTGGGGGCAGGTGGAGCAGTTGCGGGCCTGGCGTCTGCCCCTGAGGACCAACTGAGTCAGCAAATGTGCCGAAATGAGTGAGAGCTACAAAAAGGACTGCTGATTCACTTCCACTCCCCAATTTTGCATAGGAATCTCTGTTGTGGCCCATCGAAACTCAAAACACTCTGGGGAGGGAAATATGGGAATTTATTCAGCCTAGCCAAGTTGACACAGGTCCCACACCATTTTATCTATCTCACCTACCACCCCCTTGACACACTGCACTGACCACCCCCTCCTCTGTGGGCAGTGAGCCCCATGAGGACAGGGGTAATCCAGGATGGGCACTCGGCTATCCTGGGACTTGCAGTCCCTCTTTGTCAGTGCTCCCCACAGTGTTCAGCCAAAAGGAGGTCACAGAGGGAGGCTAGAGACAGAAGGGGTGCTTCTCCCATTTCAGGCCTGTGGCGGGGCTGTTGGTTCCGTGGCTCCTGCTAGGTCCCCATGGGCCTGCGTGGTTCCTACTGTGTGACCTGAGCCTGGCTGCATAGCACCTTCCTCCCAGGGGTGCTACTGGGATACTGTGGCCGCCTCACCAGCTTCCTTTGACTTCCGAGCTCTCCCATCACCTGCATTTCCAAGCCCCTAGATAAGCGTCTCCCAGACCCTGAGTGGTACAAGGGGTAGGGGACTGACCATTTAAAAATTTTTATTGATTTTTAGAGAGGAAAGGAAAAACATCGATTTGTTGTTCCACTTTTTTACTCATCATTGGTTGATTCTTATATGTACCCTGACCGGGGATCGGACCCGCCACCTTGGAGATCAGGACAACACTCTAGCCAAGTGAGCTACCTGGCACAGGCATGGCCATTGGATTTTGATGTCATGATTCCCAGGGTTTCCCCTGAAACCACCTCCCTGAGGTTGGGGTCCCTGCCTTTGATATCGCTAGGGAGTCCATGCTGGGCTCTGGGACCCGGCTCAGACAGAACTCCTGATTCCCTAGGGGCCCCTGGGAAAACCCTGTCAGGTGTTGGGGCTTCCCAGCCTGGCCTGCCCCTGGCACAGAGAACGCCTGATGTCTCGGACCAGGGCCCCAGACAGTGCACCCCTCCTCTTGCTGGGGAGGGGCAAGGACAGCTCTAGGCCTGTCCAAAAGGGACGAGGGTGGGGGAAGGGGAGGCTAAGGGAAGCCATACTTTACCTCTAGAAAGAAGCCTAAATGCCAAGGCCTGATGGGGGAGGAGCCTCAGTTGCCAGCCCCTTCCCACTATTCCTCAGACCCAACTGCGCTTCTCTTCCTGAGCCTTTGCACCAGAATACCTTCGGACAAGCCACTTCTGCCAATCCCCCTGGTTCCTTGAGGCTTGTTATGGGAGCTGTGAACCCACCCCAAACCTTCTAGGCTCTTGTGTGTCCGTCCCACGCATGTGCAGACTGCTTTGTCCACGAAACTAAGCTTTTACCCACTGACAAGTGGCCAGCTGGGACTGGCTCAGCACAGGGATGCGCTGGAAACAGGTTGGTGGGAGGCCAGCCCTGCCTTACCTTATCTGGAGAGAGGAAAGTACCTGCCCAGTAGCCAAGGGGCTGTCGCTCAGCCCCACTCTGTCCTGAGCTGGAAGCCAGAGGTGGGGCAGCAGTGTCCTGAAAGGGCGGGAAGCATCAGCCTTATTCCCCTCCTTCCGTCTTCTGGGCACTGTCCCTGGGAGTCCCCCAAATCCCTGTCTCGGCTCTGTTCTCCCAAATGTGCCCATTGTGCATACCTGTCTACTTCCAGAAACCCTGCAGACAAGACCTGCCCCTGCCACCCAGCTCCCCACCTCTGCCTGGGACCCTCCCCTAAAGGCGAGGCTGAGAGTGGGGACATCTGGGCTCCAATCTGGAGGTCAGTGCCCGCTGGACGACCTGGGGTGACCTGTGCAATCTGAGACTGGGGGATGACTCACTGTCCTCCCAGCTGAGAGGACAGGGGTGGGCCTTCATGAACCTCAGCTGAGGTTATGACCACAAGCTTGCTGGCCCCAGATGCAGGGCTGGGGCTGACTACCTCTCCCCGTGGCTTGGGTCAGGGGTAGCCGGCACCTTTGCTCCTTGTTCTTACCCTCTGCTTCCCCCACGTGGCCACTCTTGGTGCTGCAGGCCCAGTGAAGAGGGCCTCCACTCATCACCTCCCTCCCAGGGCTCTCCATCCCCCAGGCACACTGCCCTACTTGCCCCACCCCTCAGACTGAGCTGCTGCCTGGCCCAGGGGGCACCAACCTCCAATCCCACGCTCCTCAGTATTTTCTCTAACATGGACAGTGCAAATCCTACCCTGTCTAGGCCCTCCCATGACCCCCATTCAACTCCCTCACTACAAAGGGGAATTTTGTGGCTCCTTTTATCCTCAAGCCAGCTCCTAGCCTGTTTCCATGCCAGCCACCTGGCACTCAGAGGGCAGGGGCTCAAGTGGGCAGCAGTGGCATGAGGCCTGTGCTCCGTACTTAGTTTCTGGACTCTCCTAGGTTGAGTTCCCCGGGGACCCAGAACATGGACCCCAGCCCAGCCGGCGTGGCTCAGCGGTTGAGCATTGACCTAGGATCCAGGAGATCCCAGTTCGGTTCCCAGTCAGGGCACATGCCTGTGTTTCGTGCTCAATCCCCAGTAGGGGGCGTGCAGGAGGCAGCCGATCAATGACTCATCATTGATGTTTCTATCTCTCTCTCTCCCTCTCCCTTCCTCTCGCTGAAATCAATAAAGATATATTTAAAACAAATAAAAAACACAACATGGACCCCAGTCGGAAGACTTGGGCATGCCACTGTCTTCAGGGCAGTGCTGGGGCTGGGTGGGAGGCCCAGGGTCAGGCTAGGTCAGCTTTCTGCAATGTGAAGGGGCAAGTGCTGCCACTAAGAGAAGGCAGGCTGGCTCCGTCCCATCTCCTGGGCATCCAGTGTGGCAACTCAAATACCACGTCCTTCCTCCCCACCCCCACGAGTGGTCACTTCTCAATCCCACTTTTCAGATGGAGAGACAGAGGCTAAGGAGGAACCTGTCCCAGGTAACCTGGCAGTGGATGGAGGACCCAGACACAGATGGCTTTGGACCCCGAAGGGCAACTGTGGAACTCTCTAGAACCAAGCACAGCACAAGCACCAGGACACCAGGAAGGGGGCACCACAGGTTTGTTTTCTCCTTGTACAGGCAGGGAGGGCTGTTTCAAGTGACATTCCAGAAGTTAGTTACAATCCCGGAGTTCAGAGGATGACTCTTCACTTAGGGGTCCTGTGGCTTCTCCATGCCCTAGACTGGCCCCAGCTGCAGTCTCGGCTGGGCCTGGGGTCTGGGAATCAAGACAGCCGAGTGCTGGGGCTCCAGGTCTCAGTCTATCAGGAATCAGGGGCAAGGGCATCAGACACTGGATCTGAGGTATTGACAATTGAGCATCAGATGCTGGGGTACTGGGGCTGGGGAGACAGGTGTTAGAGTTCAAGGGCATTGAGTCTGGGGAATTAGAGATGCAAGTACTTGGGAAATAGGGGCTTGGGAACTGCACAGTTAGAAATCAGGATCTGGGTCTGAGGTGACAGAGGAGGACACCAGGCCCCGGGTCCACAGGCATTAAAGGCTCAGTTATCACATGTCTAGGTCCAGGTGCCAGGGATTTGGGGATTGAGGTACTGGGTGCGCACTCTTGGGAGTTCGGGCATTCTCTTGGGAGGCTGGTCTTCGGCTCCAGGGTGGCCTGGTGTACTAAATCGCCGGCCAAGAGTGCTCCTCTCAGGGCTGCGAAGTCCAGATGGCCCTGCAACAGAGATGAAGTCTAGAGCAGGCACAGTGGTCCCACTGGCACCCCAGGGGCCCAGGGTCTAGGGGAGCCAAGAAGGGGCAGGACTGCGTGGGTGGGGTCTTACCTGTGGCTCTTCCTGCGTTGCACCAGCACATAGACCACGGCAACCAGAGCCGCCACCCCCAGGCCTCCAAAGATGATGCTCAGCAGCACGGTGTGGCTCCGTCCTGGACAGAGGGTGGGAGGTGAGGGTGGCCCAGAGTGTGGAGTGTGGAGGGCATGGGGACTAGAGTGAGGCATGCAGGAGGGCAAGTGTGTGGGGTGGAGCCAGACTGGGCTCGGTAGCAGGGGGCCTAGGACAAGTGGACCAGGCATCCTCACCTGGCTGGCACGTTGGGGTAGGCCTGGACCAGGTGCCATCAGCCTGGCAGAGGCTGACATGTGCCCCATCCAGGCTGTAGCCATTGTCGCAGTGGAAATAGATAGTGGAGCCCATCAGGTACTTGATGCCTTCCTTCCGTCCATTGCGGGGTGGGGCCAGCCAGCCGCAGGACACCACTGGGGTAGAGACAGGGTGCAGATGACAACCCTGAGCCACTGGCTGCCTCCTGCAGCCAGCCACCAACCTGGGGGGCCGTGTCCCAGTGCAAGGTGCCTACCCCCTCACCCTCACTCCCTGTATCCCTCACCAGGTTTCAGACTCTGCACACGATGCTGGTGCAGCTCGTGGGCCACCCGTGTGGCATTGCCCACACTCAGGCTCCCTGTGGCTGCCACATCAAATCTGCAGAAATGGTTGTCCCCACACAGTTTGGCTTCCTCAGTTGTCTGGCTGGGGCTGACCTCCTCAGGGAAGAGGGGCTGGAAGGTGGGGTCATGCTTGGGCCCGTACAGGAAGTTGTTGACCAGGAACCGAGAGTCATATGTGAGCAGGGAGGAGGCATTCTGCACAGCCCCTGGGGAGACACAGCAGGCCTGGCTGGTGGTAGAGTGTCTGGGGTCTCCTCCTCCCTGCCCTGATCCTGCCCCTGCCATGTCCCTTTCTCCAGCATGGGCCTCATGGTCACTCACAGTCAGCCCCGAACCGGTGTAGCTCTCGGGAACTTGAGGTGGGGGGCAGGATCTGCCCATTGCGCAGGGTGAAGTCGTCTGTGAGGTCGTCATTGAGTGTCCCGAGGAGGCCTCGAGTGTGGGTAAGGAACTTCTCAGGCAGCAGGATGGCTACACTCAGGAAGGGACCTTGGATGCTGACCTCCAGGCCAGCCCCCGATGATAGCATGATTGATACGCTGTCCCCAGCAGCCACTGACAGGAACATGCCTGGGCACAGGTGGAGCTGGGGTTAGGATCACCTCCTGTGGGCACTGTGTGGTGACCCCACAGCCCCAGGATGGGTGGGCCTTCATCCTTGGGCTTCAGGGGAAGGGCAGGGCGTCCCCAGGACCAACCCTGCTGACTGTGACTCCACCACTCCAGGCCCACACCTGTGCTGGGACCCTCCATGCTGATCTTAGGTGCCCAGGCCCTGAAGAGACCCCCCCC